TTCTAGCACCACCATCACAAAAATGCAGCCGTTAGAGCAAAGTTAGAGGGCTCTTTCTTGAATGAATACTTTAGATTGTGATGTTAGTACAACTCTGTTCATTTAGAAAAACAAATTAGCTATTTTAATTTTATTTTTTAAAGAATTATTTATTTTGGGGACCAGCAGGTGGTGTGGTGATTAAGGTGCTGGACACTCCCATATGGCCGACCAGGGTTCAAGTCCTGAATCTGGTGGCTTGCTTTCTCACTTCCTCTCTCTCACTCTCAACCTCTGTCTCTCACCCCCTGGCGCTCTCTGGTCAAATTAAAAAAAAAAAAAAAAAAGAATGAATAAATTAAAATAATTTTTAAAAAGAATTATTTATTTTTAATTTTTAAAAATTATCTTTGGGAGCCAGCAGGTGGCGAGGTGGTTAAAGACTCTGGACTCCCACATGCCAACTGCAGTTCAAGCCCTGGAACTGGTGGCTTGCTTTCCCTCTCTGTGTCTTGGATCACACTGGAAAATAATAATAATAATAATGACAAGTTAAATTAAAAAGAATTATTTAAAAAATTATTTTTGGGGGCCAGAGGGTGGTATGGTGGTTAAGGACGCTGGACTCCCATGTGGGTGACAGTGGTTCGAGTCTTGGACCTGGCAGCTTACCTTTGCACTTTCTCTGGTCAAATTAAAACAAATAATAATAAAGTTAAATAAAATCATTTTTAAAAATTATTATTTAAAAAATATAACCAGAGAGGGACCAGCACGTGGCATGGTGGTTAAGGCGCTGGACATTCTCACACAGCCAACCGTGGTTCGAGTCCTGGACCTGGTGGCTTGCCTTCTCACTTCTCTCCGTCTCCCTCTCTGGTGAAATGAAAGTAAATGATAAATAAAATTCTTAAAAAAAGAAAAAAAAGAAAAAGAAAACAGGTTGTAAGGGACCAGCAGTGAGCGTAATGGCTATGTCAAGAAACTCCCATGTAGTCAACCACAGTTCGAGTCCCAGACCCAGTGGCTTAAACTCATGCCAGGCGCGTGTGCGTGCATGCCCAAGATTCTGAGAGGAGAATGAAGAAGGGATTGCAGTGTGGCCCTCTCCCCTGGGGGGTGATTTCTTGCTTTCTGTCTGTCTCTGTCATTTTGGCAAGTGCACACACCCTATAAAAAAAAAGAATACATCAAGTCATATATTAATACTTATAATTGGAACATTTTAGTTTTATTGATATAAAAGTGGGTGCTGGAGGGAACCAGCAGTTAGCATAATGGCTATGTCGCTGGACTCCCACGTAGTCGACCACAGTTCGTGTCCCGGACCCGGTGGCTTAAAACTCACGCCGGGCGCGTGTGCGTGCGTGCCCACGATCCCGAGAGGAGAATGAAGAAGGGATTGCAGTGTGGCCCTCTCCCCTGGGGGGTTATTTCTTGCTTGCTGTCTGTCTCTGTCATTTTGGCAAGTGCACACACCCTATAAAAAAAAAGAATACATCAAGTCATATATTAATACTTATAATTGGAACATTTTAGTTTTATTGATATAAAAGTGGGTGCTGGACTCACGCATGATTGACCACAGTTCAAGTCCTCGACCTGGTGGCTTGCTTTCTCACTTTCTCTGTGTGTCCTTCTCTGGTAGAATTAAAATAAAGTTAAAAAAATTATTTAAAAAAATGGAATGGTGACCAGCAGTTAGCGTAATGGCTATGTCGCTGTACTCCCATGTAGTTGACTGCGGTTTGCATCTCGGACCCAGTGGCTTAAAACTCAAGTCGGGCGCGTGTGCGTGCATGCATGCCCAAGATCCCGAGAGGAGAATGAAGGAGAAGGGATTGTGGCGTGGCTATCCACCCTAGGGGGTGATTTCTCGCTTTCTGTCTCTCTGTCTATGTCTATCTGGCAAGCGCATGTGCCTATCGCAAAAAAACACTCAAAAAAAAAAAAAAAGGAAAGGAATGATCACTAGATAGTAATGGTGATAAGCATACTTACTTTTCCAAATCTCTCCCACTGTCAATTGTATAACTGACCAATCTAGAATGCCAACTGCTGGCTGGGTTCAAGGTGGAATGTTGACACGTTCCCTGGGGGGGTTTTGTGGCTGTAGTATCCACAATTACTGGGCAGAGCCCTGTGGTGGCTACAGAGCCATGGGGGGGGGGGTTGAATCTTCTGTGGAACTTAGCTTTGGGCTATTTGGGAAGCTGGATGAGGTGGTGAGGGAACAGCTGCCTAGGAGTCCATGGCTCACTTTTTTTTAAAAAATATACCACAGGTTAGTTTATTTTTAACACCCATCATGCCATGAATTCATAGGGGATAGGTTCCAGTAGCTCAGGCTCTTTTCCATTGGTTCTCACAAAGTGTGCTTCTCCGGGTGGAGCAGGCTGGCACTTTAGTTGAACCCAGGTACCTTTCTCTTTGGCTTTTTTTTTCTGGTCATTTTCCTTCACACATTTTAGGAAGCTGTCTCTGCTCTTAGAACACTTAATAAACTCAATACCCACAATGATTCTCTTGGCAAGAATCTTGCCCTTAACTTGTTTGTTTACAACAGTGGCAACAGCATGCTGGGTAACATCGTAGACTCTTCCAGTTTTGCCATGGTAACATTTGTTTTTTTTGGAGAGGTTTTCGCTATAGGGTGCATGCACTGGCCAGACAGACAGAGACAAAAATAGAGACAGAAAGCGAGAAATCACCCCCCAGGGGGGATGGTCACGCCACAATCCCTTCTCCTCCATTCTCCTCTCAGGATCTTGGGAACGCACGCACATGCGCCTGGCGTGTTTTAAGCCACTGGGTCTGGGATGAGAACCATGGTCAACTACGTGGGAGTCCAGCGACATAGCCATTTCGCTAACTGCTGGTTCCCAGGCATTCCTTTTTGAACAGTATCCATTCCCTTAATGTCTACAATATCACCTTTCTTATAGATTCACATATATGTTGCCAAAGGAACAACTCCATGTTTTCTAAAAGGCCTAGAGAACATGTATCGGGTGCCTCTCTTCTTTCCCTTTGTGTTCATCATTTTGGTTAATTACTGGAAGATGGCGGTTCCCACCAAAAGGAACCATGGCTCACTTTTTACAACTCCTATGGCAAGGCGCTGGAGTGTCCGCCTATTGTCTGTTTCCTGTGGGCCTCTTGTTTTCAGTCAGACTTGTTCAGTCTCTTAGAAGTTGGTTTCAGGTGAGATGAGAGCAGTTTGAAGAGATTGGCTGCCATATTGAGACATGTCAGCTCACTGAAGACCTCAGTGTTAAAGGCGCACACAGAGTTGCCTGTAGGAACTACCAGGCAAGAGGAGTCTTTGACCATGCCCCGCCTCACCAGAGCTTACAAAAAAGCAGAGGATTGGGGCCAGCAGGTGTCATGGTGGTTAAAGCGTTGGACTCCCATATGGCTGACATCTATTTGAGTCCAGACCTGGTGGCTTGCTTTCTCACATTCTCTCTCAGATCAAATTTTAAAAGTAATTAAAAAATAAAACTAGGGACCAGCAGATGGCGTAATGGTTATTTTACTGGTTTCCCAGACCCGGCTGCTTAAAACTCATGCCGGGCACATATGTATGTTTGCCCAAAATCCCAAGAGGAAAAGGGATTGCAGCCTGGCCATCCTCCCTGGTGGCAGTCATTACTAGCTGTCTCTTCCAGCAAGTGAACGAGCCCTATAGCAAAACTTTCTTAAAAAAAGGGGGACCAGCAGGTGGGGTGGTGGTTAAGGCGCTGGATACTCCCATATGGCTGACCATAGTTTGAGTCTTCAACCTGGTGGCTTGCTTTCTCACTTTCCCTCTCTGGTCAAAATAGAAGAAATGAATGACTGAATAAAATTAAATTATTTTTAAAAAACTTAAAAATAATTTAAAAAATTAAGTTAAATAATTATTGGGACCAGCAGATGACATGATGATTTTTTTTGGAGGTTTTTGCTACAGGGTATGTGCCTTCACCATTAAGACAGAGACAAGTCGGACCAGCAGTTAGCATAATAGCTATGTCGCTGGACTCCCACACAGGTGACCGCGGGTAAAAAGGCTGACATGTTTAAGGCAGGAGTACTAGCTGGAGGACAAACCATCAGCCTGGAGATCACAGAAAGTAAAGAAAGCTGGGAAGAGACTCAAAACTTCCTGCTGCACGACATCTTCCTGATGATGACAATCCTTCCCTATCATATGGAGACATTTGTGTCTCTCATCACTTTAGTGCACTGAAAACCCCCCCCCCCCCCCCAAAAAAAAAACACAGAGACAAGTGAGAAATCATCCCCCACGGGGATGGGACACCACAATCCTTTCTCTTCTTGGGATCTTGGACATGTACACACACCTACACACACATACACACACACACACACGCGCGCGCGCGCACACACACTGGCGTTGAGTTTAGGCCACAGGGTGCAGGACTTGAACTGTGGTCAATTACACGGGAGTCCAACGATATAGCCATTACACCAACTGCTGGTCCCAAGATAGTATAATGATTACATCACTGGACTCCCACGAAGTCGACTGTGATACAACTCCAGACCTTAGGAAGCTTAAAACTCACACTGGGTATATGTATGTGTATGTCCAAAGTCCTGAGAGAAGACTGAAGAAGTGTGGGGGGGTGGCCCCCGGAGAAGGGGGGTGTGGTGAGTGATTTCTTACTTTCTCTGGTGAACACATGTTCCTTATTGCCAAAAGACAAAAACAAAAACTTCTCTAGAAAAAATAATAAAATAATTCTTAAAAAAAAGAGGCCAGGAGGGGGCATGGTGGTTAAGGGCGCTGGACGTCGACATGGCCGACTGCAGTTCAAGTCCTGGACCTGGCGGCTTCATTTTTCACTTCTTTCCCTCTCGCTCTGTCCCCCTCTTGTCAAATCAAAATAAACAAACCTCCCGGAGTCGGTGGGAACACGCAGTCACCACCGGGTCTGGGATTTGAACTCCAGAGGGTCACGTGCGACGCGCCCTAACCACCAGCCGCCTACTGCTGGGGTAACTTAACTTACTGCGCAGAAAACCCACTTCCCCCGGTTCTCCACGACTCGGCGCCGCTCGAAGGTGGCCCGACGCTCCCCGAGAGGCCTGGCCTGCGAGACGAGACACACGCTTAGGGCCGCGGGGGGCGGAGCGGCCGGGCCCTGACGAGGCGTCGGTGACCGGATCACATGGGCAAGACCTGACCGTCTGCGGCGCTGGGAGCGGGGGCCGGCCCACGGCCCACCGCCCAAGGCCGGACCGTGGCGGGCGCCGCCCCGCTGCCTTCTTGAAGCCGTCCCGGCCGAGGGCGCTCGAGCTCCGGGGGCTTCCGGGAGGCCTGCTCCGGGCGGGGCGCACAGGGCCGCGGACAGGACGACGCCGCGACGGGCGCGACGAGCAGCTACGCGCCAGAGCGACGGCTTCTGACTGGCCGGAGATGGGTGGGAGCAGGCACGCCAAGCCGGAAGTGACGCACGGCGCCTCGGCCGGGTGTTTCCGCCCGGCCCTCGGAAGGGGCGTGTGCACGGCAGCGTTCGCGGACGCGCCGTGGCACGTCCGGTGCCTACGGGCCTGCGCGCTCCGGAAGCGGCGCCCGTAGGAAAGATGGCCGCAGCGGCGTCCCGCCCGACTCGGGCAGGCGCGTCCCGGACTCGGGCGCCGGGTCCGCGGGCGCTGATTGGCCTGCGAGACGTCCCGGGCGCTGATTGGCTCCGACGTTCGCGGGAAGGCGTTTGTGGCGCCAGAGAAGGCGCTGGACGCGGCGGGCATCTGAGGCGCTTTGCGAGCGCCCGACCTGCCTTGGCTTCCTTCAGAGATGTGGAACAGTAATGCCGGGAGGCCGGGAAGGAGGCTCGGAGGGGGGC